AACGAAAATATTCAGTATGGATTGGTGGTTCAATCTTAGCCTCATTATCAACATTTCAACAAATGTGGATTTCCAAACAAGAATATGATGAATCAGGCCCATCAATTGTTCACCGAAAATGTTTCTAAAAAGTTTATTCTTCCAATCGGCGTTGACCGAACTCATATTCTTACGCTTTGTTTCTTTTGTTCTATCTCTTTACGTGTTCTTGTCATCGTATGCGTGTATAAAATAATCTTAAAAATCTGATTATTTGTGGTTTTGAGTGTGTATGTGTGTATCCTCTGTACGTTCCGCATTGTTCGTTATCAATCATTTTCTCTTACAAAAAAAAAAGTATATAATATATATTACAGCGTTATCTTGTTCATGAAATATATCTTGTGTGCAATGACGAGAGAGTCGAAAAAAAGGGAAAAACAAAATTGTAGGAAAAAAAATGTGCCCAAGCATAGTCTGGATTTAGTTCACGAAAAAAAAAAGGAAAATAAGAACCAGCCAAGACATCACTTTCGATACGTTGTAATAGCTGCGTGCATTAATTCAATCTATAAAAAGAAAGTAAAGAAATCAAACCTCAACTTTGTACATAGAAAACAAAGAAGTAAATTTGTCTTATCAGTAACGATAGTGCAAAGAAATTTTCCTTTCTCAAAAACGACTAACTAAGTATGTGTGCATGGGTAACAGCAGAAATTTCCCTCTGAGATTATTTTCATAGTAGAGTTTCGGAATAAGAAGTTATATCAAGTCCGGTCATCATCTTCATTACCGGAATCGGAAATACGATGGTTGAATTTTTTTCTGATGCAATCGTTGTTAATGTTTGTAAGTATCGAAGTTGAAGAGCAGTTGGTGATTGCATTATAACATCAGCAGCATCTTTCAATGCTCTATATTTACAACGTAGAAAGAAAATATTGTATATGTAAAATCAATAAAGATTTTACCTTGCTGCTTTTTGTTCACCTTCAGCTGCAATTACTTTAGCGCGAGCTTCCCTTGCTGCTTCAGCTTCAGCAGCCATTGCTCTACAAAATAGAGAAGAAGACAGAGCACTCATGAGATCAAACGTTTCGATCAATAGTTCGTAGTTTACCTTTGAAGTTGAACAGGTAATCGAACATCTTTACTATAATGTAAGAAAAGAAATAATTAATAAGATAATTGTTTGTTTTTCATAGTGTAAAAAAAATCTTACACTTCAACTCGTTCGACTCGAACTCCCCAACCTTCAGTACCTTCATCTAAGGCAGCCTAAAATAAAAACTATGATGTCATTTCTATTCGACCTAATTATCGCATATATATATATATATATATACGTACCTGCATGGTTTGTGCAATTGATTCACGATCAGAAAGAATTTCTTGTAAAGATTTCGTACCGAGACTAATAAATATCATTGATCATAAATATAGATAAATGAAATCACAACTTACACATTACGTAAACTAGTAGCAGCAAGTAACTGTGTACTCTTTGGAGCATCTTCAACATTTGTAATAGAAATAACAGGATCAAACACTCGAAAGTAAACAACAGCATCAACAGCTACTGTTACTGAATCTTTCGTCAATATCTAAATTTATCGATTAATGAACTAGTAGTTTATATTAATAAAGCAAACCTCTTGTGGAGGTACATCAAATGTGACTGTTCTCAGATCAACTTTTGTATAAGCATCTACACAAGGGACAATAATGAATAGACCTGGACCCTATAATAATTATAATATAAATAATAGATATGAAATTATGTTCAATATAAAAGGTACTTTGGCGCCGCCAAGAATACGACCAAGTCGAAACATAACAGCGCGTTCATATTCTTGAACGACCTAATGAAAATAATTATAATCACATACGAATGAAGAAAACAGACAAAAGACACCTACCTTCAGACAAACAGTTAATGAAAATGGAAACGTTAAACATATAAGTGCATAAGAAAGTGCAAGTAATATATATCCACATATGCCCAAATTATAATCTTCATGAGAGTCTAAATTAAATACATATGTTACATAACTTGAGAATGATTTAGATTATAAAATATCATATTATTATTAATAACAATAAGATTCTATTCACCCATTTGTGTTCGAATTATAGCTGATCTCGTATACTGAATAGCTGCTGATGCTGCTGTTGAATGCGGATGATTTCGATCTCGACTCATTTCTCTTATGTCTTGTTCGTCTTCTTCTCTCATTATCATTCGAGCAAAGGCTCGAACTATTCCAATGAATATTACTTAACCTCATGTGCGACAATGAAAATTGATGTTTCTATTTCTGTTACCATTTATGTAACTACATTGTTGTCAATGCTATTATCATATTCTGTCTTCTAGTCTATCTCTTGTTCTTAGAATTTCTCTCAAGCCTTTAAGGTGCTTGTTTGTTTAAATGATTTGCAATAGTAATTTCTCTTTGCTACTTTATTACATTTCCACCAAGGACAATTATTCGACAGAACAAAGAATAATAGTTGTATTTGTCAAATGACAGATAGCGTTATATAAATGGTATTTATATAATCATGCATAAGAATAACAACTATATAGTTTTTGCACATAAAAATCAAGCAAAACGGAAAATTTCACATACTTGAGAATTTGCTGTTTCTCGCTGTTTCTACTTGTGCGTTCATGATAATAGATAAAGAATGCTCGACGTCACACAGACACACTATCCGCACTTTTCTCGGGATTCACCGTAAATGTGTTTCCGTTGTCTTCTGTCTCCTTCGCTCTCTCACTCGTTTTTTCCATTCCTTCTGTTACTTCCTTTTTTTAATCTCCGAATCAATGGAACGCCTTTCTCTCTAGTCTACATACTCCACCCATTTCTTTTCTTTTTTCATTTTCCCAGCAATAAATACAAACCACATTCTATTATATAATTGAATGTCTCCTGATATTCTGCGTACACAAGACAGTTATAAGACAATCAGTCGTATCTAGTTGAAATCTGATCCATCTTTACCGAATGACATGTGAAAAATGATGATTTTTCAAGTAGCTTTGTTTCTCTAGAGAAATTATTCGAAGCTTTTATCTTTCACGATAGAAATAATTCATCGAAAGCAAACTACAATAACAACAACAGCAGCAGCAGCAAACGAACAATGACGATGCACCAACCATCACTATACTAAGTTGTTGTTATTCGGGAAATGACAACGGGAGAGAAGAACGGACGGAAGAAACCAATTTGTATGATGCATGCTTACTAGTCGTTCAGTTGATCACACACACATACTCAAACTGATTAAGCGAAAGACGAGAGATATAGAGATAGGGAAAAAGCGAGCGAAGGACGAATTAAAGACAAGGAGTTTTTTTTTCTGCTTCTGTATTTATCTAGTTTTTATTAGTTCAGTGGTACTTCATCGAGGATAATTTCTTGAGTTATTCAAATCACGTAAAATATGCTTATAACGTTGACATGCATTATTTTTTTCTGCACCTGTCTAACAGTAGGAAATCTTAATTATTTATCGTGATAAATAAAGACGTGATTTTGAATATAGACTAGTTACTATAAAAAAAAAGAAAAAGAAAAAGACTAAGAAGGAAGTTATATATTGACCTTCTTATCGATTCGATTTGATCTTCTCATTGATTCGAATGATTTTATTTATTTTTTCCATAAAATTAATTTAACTATGCTTGAGCAATAGATCGAGAAAAAAAGAAGTTGACAAGCGGATACGGTTATTATTCCATTCTTTATCGAAATTACAATGTCACTTAATCAAAATATAAACATGTGACAAGATTTTTTTTTGCTTCATATCTCTGGACAATTCAAAAGCAAAAGGTTTCTGTTGTTTGCGCTTTTTTCCTCAATGAATTATTTCGTATTTCTGTCTGCCTGACTTGACACTTCGACAATTGCGTTAACGATATAGTTAAGGGCTTAATACTAATCTAATTTTTTCTTTTTGTGCTTTCCTGTAAACGGAGTATACACATGTGTACTATATCTTCTAATGTTAAATACCTGTGTCGAATTTCTCATGCATATGATAGCCAGAACTGGTGTTGTGTGGTCTTGTTGGTGACGCTTGCTGAGATGATGGTGGTGACCGTTGACGACGTTCATCATCGGCTTTCCAGCTATGATGTTGTTTGGCACCTCGCATGGATAGTTTTTCGCTATTTTTTGTTGATACACTTTAGAATGTAGTTGACTTCTCGTTTATTTATTTTTCTGCTTCTTGTTTCGATTATTTTTTTTCTCCTGGATTTTGCAGAACTGCTGGCACGCACTATACTTAGCAATTATTCATTTTATACTCTTCTGCAATAAGGATCATAATGATGTAAAAGCGATTATTGTTTGTCGTATTGGGCAAAAACCAAATCTAGTAAATTGGGTGGTGAAGAAGAAAAAAATAGAGAAATGTATAATATTCAGAATTACTATAGGATACGATCGTGTCTCATCTCTCTGTTAGAATTTGAGTAATAAAAGACAGGGTGACGATCTTGCCGATCAAACAATAGACGGCATGCTTACTCTTCTTCTGCTCTCTTTTGCTGTCTCTCGAAAGATTTCCTGCGGCTCTATTTTCTCATTTCACAAACATCCGTGCTTTCATTCGCTTATTTTTTTCTCCCTCCCCTATCTCTCTCTCTCTCTCTCGTTCGTGCGCATTCTATATCTAGACAAAAAGAGTGCATACTCACACGCACTCTTATATATTAGCAATTCAGTCTTCATCATGCGTCTCATATTCATTTTCTTTTTTTTTTCAAATAAGATAGCTTCAAGTTTATCGATATAGTGTTCAGCATCCATCAGCATCATAGTCATGATATAATTCCACAAGCTAAACCATTCAAACACATCAGTATTGTCTGCTGTTCAATAGAATATATTACAGCAAAAGTAACATTCTATTTAATGTCTCATAAAACATCTATATATACATACATCTATCCGTCGTGAACTATTCAATTTACTACAAGATAGAACATGATCATTATGTGTAATGAGTAAAATAGACAGCATGCTGAATATCATTCAAGGAAAGAGAGAATAAGACATGGAGAGAGAATAACAGAACTTCATTGAAAAGGATATCCGGATGGGGTCCACTAGTACTATTTGTACGACGTGACAAAACCAACAGTTGTTGATCGGTTTGAAAAATTGTGGTATGTGCTTGATGATATTGACAGGAAATGCTATAATTTATATTCTCATAGACACGCAATATTCTGTATTTTGTGTAGCAAACCAATATATATAAATCGAAGAATAAATACGATAATAATAATTGATCGAATGATTTGCCACTATGGGAATGTCATGTAGAAATTTATTGATACTCAATCAAATGAGATAAATTTAATATTTTTCCTTTAGCTTGAAAAAAAATCGTTCACCATGATGTTCGTTCTAATAAAACGTCTATTCAACATCCTATAGTTAGATACAATGAAATGCAGTTAGTTAACAAGTCTAGCACATTCTTATAGAAGATGATTAAGCATCATGAAACTATGTTGAGAATTCCTCATAATTAGTTTCCCATCACAATCTTTTCATAGATTAAACGTCTATTAAAGAAAATATTTAGCTAGATTCAAAATGCAAAAAAAAAAGAAATTCATTTGTCAATATTCTATATTTGACCCAATATGATAATTGACAAAGGAAAGCAGAAAGAACTAGTAATATATTCAAATAAGCATAGATTAACTGTATACATATAGGAAGAACTAATCTAGAATGATAAGTACACTCATGCGCAAAATAAAGAGTTATTTTTGAAGACATCCTGAAGATATTCATTTATCGTTTCTACAGGGCAGAAAGGGACAATTTTAATTGCAAATTTCTATAATGTATACATATATATATATATACATACTGTTCTTTCTTAATGCTTACAGTTGACTAATCTACAAAATCCATTTTGTTTTCGAAGTAATCATTCAAACATGTTCTTATCATAAACTACATATCGTATGAATCGCAAAATAATTTGAATCTAAATTTGTATCGATATCAAATATTTTAATCAACTCAATCAAATTACTCTAGTCTGATTCTGAAGTGCATTTTTATCGATAGAATTAGATAAGAATGAACTGAAATTAAACAAAATAGCTCGAGACAATAGTTTAATTAATTTCTTCAACAGTACGAAAACTTCTTTTTATAGGCAATAAATAAATATAGATTAATTATCAGAAGAAAATTTATTTATTTCTAACACTCTAACGACACGGATATATCATAATTATTTGCTTGTGGAAATCGTTCATATGAGGGAAATGCTGTCTTTCTATGTTTGAAATAGTAGACTGTCATTGGGAGCGATAGTCTCCGCCCTCTGGCTGCAGGAACCCTGTAGAGACAAAAACAAAAAGATGCTAATGTCACAATTTACAACATCTGTTTCGACGATTATCAATAACGTGTTCTCCATCAGTATATTTAATAACTTACTAATTTGTCAATCATAAATAATCGATTACGACATAATTGTTGTCTTTCTGTAAATTATTAAATTAACATTTTTTACTTACCTTTTCTTTCGTAATTTAGAATTCGTACGATGATCTATGAATGTTTTACATCAATTCATGACAGTTATTTATGAATGCTAAACACTTTTTTTTGCAAACGTTCAAAATTTTTGTCACGTGTTGATTAAAAAATTTCGCAAATAAAAATCATGAAGGTAAGTGACGATTATCTTAATCTACGATTGTGTTCTAGTAGAATAAAGTACCGGAAGGCATTCTAGAGTATGAATAACCTCGATTTTTACATCGAAAGAAACATCATCGAAGAACGCAACAATACCCAATGGTTCATAAGACCAAGAAATTCAAACCGCCATAGCTGTTTCTCGCATCGCTGATGGATTATATCAGCCGCAGACTAATGCTAATAAAAATGGATCTGTTCGAGTGTATGTTTTGATTCAATTTCAAGTTCTAGACAAACTATATGCAAGAAAAACATATGCAGTAATCCTAACATCCATGCTGCTAGGTAATTGTTGAAAAAGATTTGTTCACTAAGGATGGCATTTTACAAGTTCTTAGAACACAATCACAATGCTATTCTCAAGTTAATCTCACGCTGAGGCTTGCTGCTAACAGTTTCTCTGATTGTGTTCGGTTGCATTCGATGTAATTTTCAACTCGTTTTTGGCACGTATTAGTTAAGAAAAGCGCAGTTCACCCTTCTGATGTTCGTGCTATGGATTCCTACATTTGCCGAAGGCGTCATTCAAATTTAGGAGATACCTGATAATAGAAAACCACTGTACTCATGGTAATACGAAACTCGCTCCTTTTGACTCAATGGGTCAGATCAATATTATTCCTTGACGTTTAAGACTTGCTAAAAATCATTTTGGTTTCAAGAAGTTTTCACTCCAATATCAGACAATATTTGGGTAATTTTATTGAGAAGAAGAAATCTTATTACTGTATTTATTCTTCTCCTCAATAGAATATTGGTACAGCCAATAAAATCTACTGTATTAATTTCTTTCGTTCGGCTTAGAATTTAGTCGAAATTTCTTAGATGTCTCTATCTATTTGAACATAGTTTTCATCTTATTTATTAGTGGTGCACATAGTGTATAGTCCGTTTTCTTTTTTCCTTATTATTCTTGTATGTGTAGAGTCAATAAAAACTGATATATAGACTAAATTTTCGCTATCATTCTAAACAATGCCTGCAATTACAAAAGAAAGATTTGTTAAATCTATTCCAACGCCAGCTCGGTAAAACACTCTGCTTCTGAAAAACTATGCCATCTACGTTCTATATATCGTCTATCTAGTATTTATCCAAGATCTTTGGGTACTCAAGATGTTAAAAGACTTGGTCCCAGTCGAAAAATAAGTACAAAACGTACACCAACACAATGTAGATTATTTTTCCTTTATTTATCCTAAATAATAAAATTAATTAATTTAGCTATTCAAACACAAACGATGCTCGCTTGTGTTATTCTCAATAGTGCACATAATAAATCTGACAGTGGAACTCAAACAGTGAGTTACTTTATACATGCGTCTATCTAATAGAACCTTCGAATTCTTTTTTTTTCTTTTAGACTGATGACATCGGTATTGATGTTCAAAGTCAATTGGATGGGTCTTATGTACGCTTAGTCAAATTTTTAGTATGCAAAAAATTTATATCGATATTTAAATGATTCATGTGATTAAAATTTAGGGTGGAAAAATATTCTCCTTTGTGAAATTATTTACTAATATCAAATAGCGTTGTCTTGGAAAAAAAACTATTTATCTATTTATTGTATTTATTAATTTCTGTTCAATAAAATATAATTTTAATTTTCATAAAATTCTTTCTTATTGAATATAGTTGTGCATTTGAATAGATAAATTTCTAAGCTCAAGAATGATTCACATTCAGAGTAACTAATGGAAATTATTATGAATTCGTTGACAAAATTTGTTTCTGATAAAATCCAATACATTTTGAAGAGACTTGAAATATTGAGAAAAGTTTCGATTTTGATGTTTTTTACTTAGACGAAACATGAGCCACGGATTTTAGAAGTTCTTATGAAAGATTTTTAGAAATTCATGCAAATTATGCATAAAAAAATACATCTAGTCCTGAATATCATTTTCAATATTCAAAACGTTTTTTCGATAGATTTTACACGGAAGAGAACGTGAGTTACAGACGTCAATAACTTAAAATTCAGTACCTACAGAACAGATTGAACATGTGCTCTAGTCATTTATCAGATTAGATATATCGAGTTATAGTAAGTACTAAGTTTAGCGTAAAGGTATTATGTTCATCTGCATTTGTCAATCTATAGAAAATGCTTCATTACACGGAAATATAACTAACGCCGCCTATTTGTTCCCCTGTGGCACTGACGATTATAAAACGACGCAATTGAGGTGCAGTACAATGGAAAATTCCAATTATCGATTCTTTTCTTTTTCATTTAAAACAATATAACTAATGAACCGTGTTTAGATCCACTCGTAGGAATTCTAAATTTTCTTATCGTCGGCAGTAATAACAATATTTTAGAATATTCATAATAATCTGTTGCAAATGAAAAATACATTTAAGAATGTTGATATGCAAAAATCAGTGTCTCCTTCTTGCTAAAGATTGAATGGTAAGAAATATCTTAGAATATGAATATTGTTCGTACAATTCATGTTATATTAACAACAAAATGAAAGAAAAAAAAACGAATAAATAAGAAAAATATCAGCACCAGAATATATATGTATATGTATGAGATTCGACAAATAGAGAGAAAAAACTAGAGATCTTTCGTTTTTCTTTTTAAGAAGACGTTGGTTGAAATCGTTGCATATAAAAATGACAATTAGAGCAATAAGCGCCAATTTGATTATTTTTCGAACAACGTTTATGACAAAGTGTACATTCGGTCAAACCAATGGGAAGATCATTTGATGATGATGATGGTGTATCGGAATCGGAATCTGATGTTGATGCTGCTGCTGCTGCTGCTGTTGTTGTTTGTTGTTGATGGATCTTTCTTAAAAATGAATGTATTAAATGTTCAGAAGGTACTTCATCGTTATCGTCACATGTTGGAACAATTAATGCGACATTATCGGAAAATTTCACGTTCTTTTTCGGACGTGAAATCTTCGATGTTGATGAAAGTATGGATGTTGTTCTTGACATATTATTATCATAAATGTTTTCACTTTTCTTAAGACTTTTTTCTGGAGGTTTAAACGTTGATGTTAAAGAATTGTTTGAAGGATAAAATCGTTTAAAATTTTCTTGTTCTTCTATTTGTCGTTTCTGTAATGAACGTATTCTTAATAATAGACTGTTCTTTTTTGTTCGAGCATATATTGATATGCCCGTATTAAGATTATCATTTAGATTAAGAATTTGTTCAATAATAAATAATGCTTGCTGACAAGATTCTAATGCCGAAGAGAAATTACTTGCGCTTTCATATTGTAATGATTCTTCGAAATAATGTTCGATTGTTGTGCAAGACGTATCAAGATGATCATCGCCTAAATGGACATGGAATTGTTTTTTCTTACAAAACACCGAATAGTATAGACAGAGTTCAAACAAAATAACAACGAGAGATAAATTGAAGTTCGAGTACACAATTGCAATATGATTCTTAAAGTTGAGGGAGTATGTAGTGTTACACAGAGCTGTCCACTGGGAATTCAAAGCTGTCTGCTAATTCTCCAACTCACTCAAATATGGATTATGCGCCAAGTGCATTAACATGACACGACATTTTCAGAGTGCATTAAGATTTTCAAATGGATATCGTGATGTTTTTAATCAGTGACGATCAAAAATATTGCATTTTACAGTCTAAGATTTTATGTGAGTTCTTTGTAAGACTGTTCTGAACAACTTATTTTTATGCACAAAAAGAAACAAACAACGATAGATTCAATAGCTTGAAACTTTTGCATCTAATTACACAAGTTCTTTGTTAAAGACTAATTAGAAAAGACTTATTTCAAAAGCCCACGTACTGCGCCTTTGTATTCTCTATCAACTAATAGAATTAGTACTTGACTAGAATGTTGTCACACGAGAACTCATAGATGTGCAATCAAAAAAGTCTATTATTAGAACGGAAAAGAATGGAAATTCTTCATGGAACAGCCGAGGTGTGAAATGAAAAATTCATATTGTTGGTCAAAGATCTAACCTCCACGTATCTGCACATGCTATTTATCTTAATTTTCAACGCTCGGATAGATATGTACTTGCTAGAGGAGGCGCACTTAATTAATGCCTCATTGTCGTCGACGAGTAAGGTCAATCATTACTCTAGTAGCAAGTAGAAAAAGAAATTTGCGAATAAAAGAAACAATTCAAAAACAATTAATTATATAACTCTCAAGTGTCAATATCGATTATTTTTTAGTTGAGAAATATTTTTAGGATGAAACAGAAATTTATAAATGATTTATACGTTTTATTTCTTTGAAATTATGACGTATAGCTGTTATTATTTTTGTAAGAACGAATCGATTCTATTATTTTAAAGACCCTACAATGCATTCAAACTTAATGTCTACCCTATCGTTATATAATCAAATATATGTATTCGAATCCTACGCCTACTTTTCTTATAATTATATTTAACGTCAGCTAATCTTTGAAAAAGAAAAATATTAATGATATGCATAGTCAAAACAAAGTTTACTTACCCATCATACGCTCTGTTTGTTTAACTAAACCATCGATTATGGTTTGGTCATTTTCAATGAGACTGTCTCTTGGACTACCATCGCTTGATCCATCGTTTATGCCACTACTCAAACCAGAGTCACGCTGTGATGATATAGATGAATCTCCGCTTGATGATGCATCTTCACGTTGTTGTATTATTCCTAGTTGGCATGTTCGATGTCTAACATGAACAATTGGCGACGATGTTGATGACGAAGATATAGATGCTGTATCTGATAATGTCTCTTTTTTTAATAATTGTTGTTGCATAACTTTAGCAACTGCGTCGTGATTAATATAGGAATTATTTATTGGTGGTTTAGGCATAAACAACATTGACGAATTGAGTGTAGCAAACGATGATATATTTTTCAGGTCTTCTAATGAATGAGATTGTTGCTGGGATTCTTCGTACTTTTTCGTTGTCATCATGAGATTGTTTCTATTATTCGATAAAATTGTTTGTTCTAATCTTTTTTCGTCAGGTAGACCTACAAATATATATATACATAAGATGTAATCGGTCGGTGTTATTTTCTAATCATGTACGATAAATGACAAGAAGAAACAAAAAGAAAAGAACGAGACAAACACATTTACTGTTCATCACTGTTCCTAAGATTTTTTTCTTCTTCGCTCTTTCTCATCGTATACACTCGAACGGAGGTAGCCACAATACAGCTACTCATAATAGAACAAAAAGTAATCATCAGGCGAGGTCTACAATTGTGATTGTGTGTACACAGAATAGCCTGCACTGGCTATGATGCAATAGACGTAAGAAGCAAAAAAAATTGAATAATATGTAAATATAAGTAGTTACTTCAAGTCTTTCTCTCATTATCGATAATCAAATTTACATACAATTTAGATTTTTTGTTTGGATCACCGTTCGTTTAAGTAATTGACTTATATCAATTGGATTTCGATCAGGATTTGCATAGATAAATAGAAATGGTTGAAGGTGAAAATCAATCGACTTTCTTCTAACTGCATTCCAATCGTTTAATACAACAATATGTCCATCGAAACAAAATAGCCATTTTAATTTTGTATGATCATAGGAAAAGAATATCTCAACTGCACCACCATAGAAACATACAAGACCTATTAAATGAAGTTGTTTAATACGAGCATCATTTACAGTCACATCATCAAATAACTAAACGAAAATGATAATTTTTACGTAGCAAAAAAAAACGAAATTCAATATATATATCATTTACTTCGTGTAAATAGATAAATGGATTAATATTTGAAATCAGATCTTCAACATCACTTGATGTACAAGGAGACGAATTCCAATCGATTGCAATAGAAACTAAAAGAACATTCAATTTTGTTTTGGTTGAATTTTTGAAATTTATTGCATACTCAAATCAGGAACATTAGTCAACAATAAAGCGTTACTTTGTTGATGTCCACAATTACTCAATGCGCAAATTTCTCGATCGAGTTCACTTTTATTTATTGATGCAAGATAGAGTAGTTGCGCAAATGATTTTGATAGCCGTTTCGCTTCAATTTGTTTAACTAGTTGACTAAAGAAACGAAGAAGAAAAAAAAAACTGAATCCTTTCATTGTTCATCTTTTCAATTTACCATAATTTAATTGCATCAACTTGATAAACCGCTCGAGTAAATATTGCCTTATTATCAATGCTTTTTTGTTGCTGTTGAGAACGGCAGTTAATATTACTGCATCGACGCTAAATGTGTACATATATACACTTAATAGATAAAATAAGGCAGAATTAAAACGCTTACCACTTGTACAAGATTCATGGAATAAACATTGTCACAGGAAGAAGCAGAAAAGAAAACAATAAGATCTGAAAGATAAAGAATAATGATTTCATATCTTCTTCTTTTTTTTATATCAAATCTGAGTACAACTAAATCAATGCGCATACGTACAAACGGATATATCACCCGAGCATTTAATCGAAGAAGAGAACGATTCATCCATAGGCAAAGGTTAACATCGGTTGACCGTCAATGCTCAACGATTTTTTCCTCTTCTTCGTTGTTCTTACCTTCGAACCATCAATGTATTTTATGCAGGTATGTGGACGAGTGTAAAAATGAACGACTGAAGAAGAAGAAAAAGAAATTTGAATATAAGCCAAGAAAAATATGAACATATAACAAGAGAAAGTAGTATATATGTGCGTATGTCACTCTCTTTCTGTCTTTGTCTCTCTCTCTCTCTCTCTCTCTCTCTCTGTGTCGATTAAATATTGAACACGTACGATTCGAACAACGGATATTGTTCAGGTGTACACACATTTTCATTCTTTCCTTCTCCGCTATAATTATTATTATTGTTGTTGGTACGGTTCAAAGACAGAAGAGGAAAAAGAAAAAGATGTAAATTATACGCATGAAGAAGCCGAAAAGAAATAATTATTCAGCAGCTTTTATTTATATTGAATATCAAAGCAGAAATTTTTTTCTAAGATATTTTTCTATTTTCAATGTGACAAATACTTGAGATCATTTCTTGTTAATTTTATTTATGAGCATGATTTCATTATTACAACATCGTCTCACCTGCTGTTTGAAGTGTTAACTATTAAGTACGTCGCGGATGAGCTAAGAATCTAATTTTTATCATGATGAGCAATGTGTGAAAGTATCCTTCAGATGAAATTTTCGCCCACTTCTTGACATTCAACTAACCCTGTGCGTCACTCTGGATAAGGGCACTTCAAGCAAAACAGAAAAAAAAGGAAAAGGTTCAATTTTTATTGATTAAAATAAATGAAATAAATCGTGTAACGTGGCTGAATACATTCACATACGTATTTATATCGTCATAATACTAGGCGTACACATGTCAAGATTGATATCGTTCTGCAGTAAAAGGGCGCCCATCAATAACAACAAGTAGAAGGAGGCTGGATAAAGAAAGATTATATAATAGCATAGTAATAATAATAATAATAATAATCTATTGTGAATAGAGGGTGGGCTCGACTGTCTACTATCTATACAAATATATATTTTTTTTCTTTTGAACTTGTGAATACACGTACGTAGGTTATTTTCGATCAGAGAAAATAAAAACGAGCGGACAGGGATTTGTTGCGGATAAAGAAAAAAACAACAATGCGTATGATATCTCGCATTGAATGGACAATTTTCAATTGAATATTCACCCACTCAACATAAAGTATACAAATGCGAGGCCTCGTCACGCACATTCACAGTCAAATCAATACAAAAAAATTGTCACGGGCTAATCCTGGCTTGTGCGCTTAGCTCGGATTTCTTTTTCTTTTATACACATTCGTATAGTAGAATAATTTCAAGGCCATCAAGAATCGTTGTGCAACATACTCATTTATTGTCAAGCCATATGTATATATGCAAAAAGTGGATAAAGCTTTAAAAGAAATGCCTAGGTGAAAGTAGAACAATATATTATATACAAATAATGACCTCTATTCATTCATCATTGGTATGTTCATCAGAACATTTGTATTGATGGCATTGAGTACGATAAAAATGTCCATAGGAATGAAGGCATCAATCGATGTGTGTGTATCAGCGAGAGGAAACAATTGAGTGTAATGATAGATTTCACTGGAAACTTCACAATAGCATTGTGGCAAGGTCAAATAATGATGATAAATGGAAGATATGATAGAGACAAGACAATAGGATTTCTCTTTCGAACCAATTATATCAAGAACGCGTCATGAATTAAACACTATTGAATGAACTTTCAAGATTTTATTTTATTCATGTCTAGAAGAGTTCATTAAGGGAGAGAGAAAACAGACCATGAACAATGATTATACGATTTAAAAAATGTGCATTCGAACAATCAAACTTCACTTTTAATGGTTGATCCTAATCTGCATATTGATATTGTGTTTATTTTTTTATGTTTGTTGCTCTTGTATAAAAATAGAACATTGTTGAGAAGTACTTTAATGTATAAACTGTATTTATCAATTTACTATTCCCACGATAATAAGTCACACTTACACAATGTTGAGAAAAAAACCGGAAGCTGCGATGTCACGTTATCTTTTGATGTGAACGTTTCATATTGATTTATGATTTATCTAGAAAAACACTTGGACGAATTTTATCAATAATTCGACAATGATTTAGATGAATTACATCAAAAGGATAAATCGCCTAAGGAATAGTATATTTATATATATATATATATTCTTTTTTTCCTTGGAAAATATCCGTAAATAAATAAAGGCTGATGACAATGTGCCATATTGATTGATTGCCTATTGAAATGTTTTGATGAATTTTCAACAGAAACATGTGCTTATTCATGTATACTTAAACAAGAGTGTATACTTTAACCGACAAAAAAAAGAAAGAATCTATAAATGAATGAACAACGGTGACAATTGAAGAAACGAGTTCAAGTATATGGAAATAAGATGGAATTTAATTTCCTTTTGTTGTTGTAAAAGTAGATGACAGACGGGCTACATTTATTTTCACTTTCAATTATCGAACTACAGTAAAATTCATCAAGATATTATAATTAGATACATTTGACAAATGACGTTCTATGAAGTATAACGATCTTCTTGTATGTGCAACTGTTTTCGCAGTCAATGTAATTCTATTTGTAGAGTTTATTATTCATTAAAGATATGCCATAGATTGACCTATTCAATATGTAATATAACAACAACAACAACAACAACAAATGGCGTAATCGCCATGATCATAACTGCGACATTTTATTTTTTTACAAACAATTGAAAAGTGTTTTACTTGAATAATAAAATAGATCTCTAGAATGGGGTAACAATTATCGAATAATCTAAATAGCTGCTGTCGTATGTTTGTCTTTCGATAGCAGTTTTTCTCGTTTACATGTTTATCTTTTACATATATATGTTAAATCATTTGACAACAGATAATTGAGATAGAATTCTACTACATTTTTACGTCTTATGTTTTCTTTCAACCGAGTTTCTAATGATGTTATTTCAAGCAAAATGCTAGAAGATATGTCACATAGAAAATAGTTTGTAATTTTCTTTGCATATGAGAAAATAATATTATGAACAATCTCTGGAAAAAAATTTATTATAATGAGCATTCATGTTTGGCAAATGAATTATAATATGCTTCTCATTGTGGCACATTTGAACGTCAACAAATATAATAGTATACTTTCATAAATAGGATATGTATTGATTTCCGTGTTGTAATAGTTTGACTGTTGATTCCTGACCAACTGTTGAGTAGTAAAATGTTGTCATTATTAATCTTATCATAATTGTATATTTATGTTATCGATTGTTCGCATAATTGTAACAATTCTTTTGAACAGGCTAACTTATCCGAGCAATTAAAATAAAGTAAATTATCGATTAATCTTAATAATTTTCTTTTAGTCGAAAAATCAATGAGCTATTCGATTATAGATTTACATAATAACTTCACGAGTTTAGTTCGGCTTGCACCGAATATATATTTATATATATATATTATAATTTCATTATCAAGGGCCAAAAAAAGAAAAAGAAAATCCCGTCTATACACAAAATAACTGCACAAACTTAATTAAAGAAATTACATTGTTGAAATAGTAAACAAACAATAACAATAACAAAAGAAAAAAACAAAAAAGAAAAGAACAAGTAGACATTTACGACCGTCGATAACATGTTCGTACCCACTGTTGATCATCATGTTGCATACGTACTATAATATCACGTAGTTCAGTGTATGTACGATCAATATCGTTATTAATTATAACATAATCAAATAGTAAACAATGATGCCGTTCAAGCGATCGACTTTGTCGTATGATTTCTCGATAATCATTTTCAGTTAAATGATCACGTCGATCAAGATCTAAACGTTTTAAACGTTCAAATGAAGGTGCTGCAATACAAATAATATATGGATAGAGATCTGTTTTGTCAAATGTTCGTATTGCATCTGGATTTAAATTTAATATACAAATTTTTCGTTTTCTCGAAACAACATGTCGAATGTCTTCAATCGATGTTCCATATAGATCTCGATCATATTGACCGAATTCAACAAATGAATGACAAGCTACTTTTGCTAGAAAATCAGCTTCTGATACAAAATGATAATCGATATCGGGTATTTCATGTAGACGACGAGCACGTGTTGTATGAGGAATAGCAACATCGAATAGATTCGGTTCTGTTTGAAGAAGTCGACGACGTAATTCATGTCGACCAACATTAGGAGCACCTAGAAAAGAATTGAATTAATTTTTTAATTATTTACTATTACATAAAGCATAAATGTTTCGAGTGTAATAAACAAATTTCAAGTCTAATTTATGTTTCTTACCTAATAAAATAATGGGTCGTGTTACTTTTAATTTCGTCAGATCGAGACGAAAAACTGGATCATAGAAACGAAATGAACTCATCATTAATGAATCACTATTTGAATCTTTATTAGTATCTAAACTTGTAGCTATTGCATGTGACGGTGGTTGTTCTGCACCCATTTGTCTCGTATCTGTTAATGAAAAATGATTTGTCGATGTACGAATGGTTGCTGTTTCTGATTCATCCGTATCACGTATAAATGTTTCGTTGTTATAAACAGAAGTTAAATTAGATTTATGTTTTTTTGGCATACAAGTAACACAACTTTTCTTTTTCTTCTTCTTAGAATTTTTATGATGAAATCTTAATGTCGACGAAAATGATGATACTGATTCTGTCTCATCACTAAGAGCTTTTATTAAAGCAATACGTTTCTGTTGTAAACTATCCGACGGTATTAGACCTGCTAAACATGGATCTGTATCTGTTTCCATCGAATTTTCACAATAGGCTTGCCACCAGCTAACGTAAGAATCATTGATTTTAATGAAGTTTTCATCACGTGCAACTATACGTAAAATATCGCCACGTTGAAATGATAAGCCAAGTTCTTTGCAAGGTAGTAAAGGATCATTATAGGGATCATAGGCATATAATGCACGAACAAAAAATGTTTGTTGCGACATGTGATTCATATGATTATGAATTCCAGATGAAAGTAAAGGTGGTGCAAGTAGAAATTTAATTAAACCAGTTGTGTGAGACATTAATGAACAAACATAATCCAGTGAACGACCAGTTATTGGTTCATCGTTGATTTCAAGTACACGATCATTTACTTGAAAAAGTTGTGTATTTGCTGCCATGCCACCAACAATGATTCGTGCAATATGTATTGTACCTGAGTCGGCACGTGTTATTGTTAAACCTAATGGTTCATGATTTTTTTCGATTTTAACAATTTTCAATTCATCAATGGCATATTGTGATAGTTTTAATAATTCTTCTGTAGTTTCAGAATTTTTTAATTTTTCAGGCATATTTTCATTATGATTAATTCGTATTTCTTGACTGTCTGGTAATGCTGATGGATAGAGACGTAACTTGAGAATATTATCAAATACAGTTAAAAGACTTTGCATTTCTGTTCGACGTAATATTGTTAAACATGTTTTAAGATCATTTAGCATATCGAATAAAGATGGAGATGATGATCTGATTGTACTAGAAGAAAAATAAAATGAATTAGAACAATTTTTGAAACTAAAAAACGAAACAAAAGATACTCGATCGAAGATTAAAAGTATCAATATTTCCGCTTTTGTAAAAGCTGATCTCATATTACGTTTTTTTTTCTCAAAGAGATTATTTGGAACGTGGAAATGACACGTTTATTTTTTGAAAATTCAAACTCTCGTTTTACACTTGCAATCTATTTCTTGTTCTTTTATCAAAAGATAATATCCTAGAAAATAACTTACGCTGCATCAAACATTTGAAATTCTGCATCGATCAATTTTCTTTCGATGATTTGAATAAATTCTTCAACCATTTGTTTAAAATTTCTTTCACCATTCTCACTACTATTAAGTATTATTTCGTGAAATAAGTCCATCGAATGATCATTTGAATGTGCTACAATAGGTAATAAATTTAGACTATGTTGAAATGGACCTTGTTGAGCTATTTCACGTAAACGACCAATATCTTCTTTAACAGGATCATCGTCCATTTTAAATGCGATTTGTGCACGATCCAATGTTGTATAAATATCATCAATCGATATTGTTAATAATGGCGATGATGTACAATTAGGAGCAGCTGTCGATAAACTACTACTACCACTTGTTGATCCTTTACGTTTTAAATCTTTTGTTTTAATTTTCTTTTGAAAACCACTACGATGGGTTGATAGAGTACAATAAGCTTCATCTGATGTTTGTGCATCGGGCGATGATCGACTTCGATAACTACAACTGCCGCGACGGCTACTTTGACGGAGTAAAGAGCCTCGTTCAAATGTAGTAGTAGTTACTTGTTTATTCTAGGAATAACATACACACATACAAAGAGATAAGGAGAAATGCAAAAAATTCTATTGACATTAACTAAATGAGAAGAATTTAGCGTTTTTTTTTTCTTTTGTTTTATTATTTTAATAGCACACTCAAGCCTTGAATCTACTAAACGGATAAGAATGTCGATCGAATTCAACGGATATTTTACTTACGATTGGTTTGAGTCGAAGTAATTCGATGCATTCTACTTTCGATGCAACGATATGATGGTCAATACAATCTTCTTTGAGTGGAGATTGAACATCGAATTCAGCTGGTACATCAACTGAACAAAAATATATTACTTTTTTTTTGGTTAAAAAATATTATTTCTTTAGTACATACCTGCTCGTTCACCGCCAAGCCATTGTATGATTCGTGCTGTTTGGTGATTATCGTCTTGTTTTATTGAATTGCCACCGCCACTAAGGTGACTAACGTGGCTACGATTTCCATTTATCTTGTCGACAATAGCTACCATTTGTGTATTTGAATCAAATGTTCATTTTATCATGAATTTCACTTGCAACTCTACATCAAAGATCAAGGTTAAATTTACTTTCTCACGTAATAACGATCTATAGGCCACATGCTTCTACTCCCATTTATTAAACAAAGAATATGCTAAGACAAGGTTAAACACAAGATATCATGTTTCTTCTTTCTTTTGAAATCTAAGACTATGTGATAGGAACATTTCGTTTTTCTTTTCGTAACTTACATACATCTCTATGTTCATATTGGCTACTCGTGGGGAAAAAATAGAAATAAAACATAACTTAACGTTTTGTCATATATGACAACGCTCGTAGAATAAAACTCTCGATAGACTACTGAGTGGATAAAATCAGTCGGTCTGAGCTTGAAGTAAACAACGATGTTAGCTTTCAATAATTGAACTAATGTCGTCTGTCTTGTCTCTATTAATCTCATGCACATCGGTCACTGTCGTCTACTTTAGAATACATAGATCAACCTGAACTACTTCAATTATCATCGTTGCTTACCTTGACCAAAACGAGAAAGTGTCAACCTTTTTCTCTCTTTTTCTCTTATGAAACGATGACTGAACGTGTATACGGCGATCGAATGAATCATAATACGAAGAAAGAAAAACAAGAAGAGAATGTCATTCGTGTCTCCACCGTTGTCGTCGACGTCTTTCTATATTTTCCCTACCTTTTCTAGTCAATATCCACCATATTGCATGTACATATATATGAAGGAATACAAGAAAAAATACAGAAGAATTTTTGTTTTTTTTCTTTTCTTTTCGAGTTATCGATTGTGTGAATATATGAATGCATCGAGTGCACCCTCCTATATCCTTGTTTAGGTATGAAGAGAAGAAGAAGAAGAAGAAGAATAAAGTGACCGGCAAAAGACTCTTAAGTGCACCATTTGAGTAGATATAATATGTACAGGCGAAGACAAATAGTAACATTCATCATTGATCTGATCAAGGTTAAGAAATTATTCAAGCTAGTGCTTGACAATTTTATGAATAGGAAGCAGAGAAAATGTCAAAGATCATGAGATTTTAAGTATTATATTAACGAGAGAAAAAAATGATTTGATTTAATTTTCATAAATCAGATTTGTTAGCTTCTCGATATTGTCATTTTCTATGATATAACCAGGTGGTGTACATGTCTATGGTTATTAATGAGATTTTTCTCCATTGAAACAACGTTACACAACATCGATCTTGTGTTCATAGAGAATAAAAGATAAACCATGCGTTCCTACGAAATCGTCATAATGAATGACATTCTATCGTTCATTGTGATCGACTACTCAATAAATGACTGAGTGGCGAATTGTCAAAATTCAATGACTTGCGGATTTTTCTTTTTCTCTTTGAAAGATATTTGATAATGAAAAACATAAAAGTTTACATGCTCATTAACACACTAAACGGTTCGTTACAGTAGACATTCGCCAATAGATAAATATATCGTTTCAATTAACACCTTGATTTGAAAAAAAAACCAGACAATTTATTAAATAGGCATTACATTTAGCAACAACAAAACAAAAGAATCGTGATTTTGTACGTCTGAATAAATTAACATGGTTAATAAAATTTTCAACGATCGAAATAAATCGTATAGTTTTCAATAGGAAATACAAGCGACTGTTTTTTTAAGCATCAGCTGCATGTTCAACAATTATAAATGATGACGATGCATGTTTGAACTTTTAAAACAACGATAGGTCATATCAGTTCAATGACGGGCAAACTTGAAGTTAGAAGTGCTCTAGATCGTGATTGATTCTTTCATTGAAATTCGAGGTAGTAGATCTGAGAGTACAGAAAATAATATTTAAGAATGGTAAGACAAATAAGATTTGCTTTTAGCATCGTACTCGAAAACTGAATCATTAGATCGATATTCACGTGAACTTCGTTTTACTTCTTGAAACTAGTTTGTCGGCGCAAATAAATTCTTCATGAGCAATAAAATTGAAATTGTTTTGGATGTTCTCTTGTGCTATTAACTTCCTGTTCTCCTACTGCAAAGATTTTGTTGAAAAGAAGACCTCACCCGTATTTAATGAGAATCTAGTGAACTTTCCTCAAGCTCATTAATAATGAATATATCATATATATATTGATAGAGTCACATAACGAACGCCAATAATAATAATTGACTACGTAGGGTTCGTATTGTTTTCGAAGATTACTTACGTTAGAGTTTGACATGAGAAAATATCGATTTGAGTTTATCGAAGATAATTTAGCCAATAGCATTCGAAAGAAATAAAAGAATCTGATCTAAATAAAGTATTATTCTTCATACTTTTACAACAATAGAAAAGACATATCTGCTTTCATTATTTACATGTGTATATATATATATAGAGCGTTATCTTATTTCATTTGTAAACTATATATCGTCATTTTGTCAAATTCACGTCTTATAGTTTGCTCTACTGTTTCATTCTTCGAAGAAGGAAAAAGCAATGTTCGGTTTTCATGCTGTCTTCACGTAGGTATAGAGCAAAAGTTATTGCTGCACAGCATTGTCAACATCTAGCTACAAAGAAGAACATTTTCATAGACTTTTTACTCGATAATCATTCTGTGAAAAAACAAATTTACTCCAATAGTAAATCTTAATACCAGCGCATCAAATAAAAATGCGAAAACCTACACGCATGTAATTTACTCGTATGATAATGTTTCGAAGATCAAATTGTATTGTGAGCAGGACAAAAAAAACTCATTGAAATATGAAAGACTAATGTCAATACAAATATTAATATAATGAGGATCATGCAATGTTTTGAATGATTATACAAATTCTTGAGAAGGATTTTAAATAAGAGTATGTGCCAGATCGTTTCTAATTAGATTTTTCTATGAGAAAATGGTATTTGTTCTATGAAAGAATTAGTACAATGCTGCTGCTGCTGCTGATGATGATCCTATGTGTGTAATAGAAGAATAAGACAAAAGTCTGTTGTCTGAAACGCTTTTTACTTTGTATAAAATGCGCTACTGATTGAGAGTCTTTGTATTGTCACGTTCAACTAGAAAACGTAATCGGTTTAGTATACTAAAGCAGATTTAACATAAGCATTACGTCGATTCTCTTTCGAAAGAAAGTCGTATCTCTTAAAAGCAAAATTCCCTTTTGAAAATATTTAATTAGCGAAATGTAATTGCTGTTCTGCTTCTCTAACTTTGATAAATTTCCATGTTCCATTCATTTGGCTAGATCGTTCAAAACAAGTTCTTGTTTTTTTCATTTTCTGTGTAGATATTTTTTCTGGCTGCGGAATAGACGGATTATACTGAATTCTTTATATCTGGAATTAAAATCTGTCATTCAATAGTGAAAAAAAAAATATACAACCCATCGTCACCCGTGAACATAATACAATGAGATGTACAGATGTGCTAGTGGTTTACCATACTATTATTGAATACTCAGACAGTGTTATATAACCTAATTTCTTTTATCAATCGCATAAATGAGCTAAGAAATTAGTACATAAAAGGTGAGAAGATGATAGTAGACACATGCTTAGCACTTACTATTTGAAAGTGATGTAATAAATGATTGAGTAGATGAGTGCTAATAGCGCACTTCTTGTCAGGTTAGAAACAAAAAGGGATAAAAAATTATTACAAAAAAAAACGTTCTACAGGAACATCATAGCTGATGTCATTTTGCCTGATTTCGGTGTGAATGTTTTTAATAGATACATTTTTCCATACTCGGAGAAAATTTAAAGTCCAATCTAAAATATTTATTTGACAGGAAGTTACATTTTCAGGGTTTTAGATCAATGCCGAAGAACAGCATTACTGTAAAGTTTAGTGATCTAGAAGATGTTCGAAATTTCAACTTTGTTCAACTTGTAAATAGAATTATTGATTTGTATAGATCACAAAAATGATCGACATGACAGCTTGGCTTTGTTGTTCATAAGAAAGCCTTTTATTTATCTTAACTTTTAAGTGTAATGTATTGCTTCTATTTAGCTTTTTGTTTCTTAAATATTGATTTAATCAGCTCAAGCAAAGTTTATGTTTAACATAAAAATTCAGGAAGTAAATAAAACATTTAGTACGCTTAGCTATCTACGATAATCAAGTGAATATTATCGACGGAATCGATTTTCTATTAAATATTTATAATACGAAAGATAAAATCGTACCTGTACGGTTTTATGAAGAATACTTTTGAAATTTGTTATCTATTGTTTTGATAAAATATTTTAATTAGCATATGCCGATAATGAATTATATTAGCCATATGAATACAGATATTAGTTTGAATTATGCATTAGAGGAAAGAACACAAGATACGGCCGTAATCCCTGAGTCTAATGAAAATATTATTTTACAACCGAACTTTTCTTTCGGATATAAATCTAGTGACTAAAATGAGATTTCTGATCTGCTTTTTTCTCACCATTGAAATAATTCACTATCATTATCAACACAAAAGAAATCTTTTTTTCTCTCCTAACAAACCATTGAATAGAGTAACATTCATTGTCAACAATTTCTAAGACTTGATAAAGTTCATTAAATTTAATGAAGCGATGTAAATAAATAACGAAAAGCATTAATGTTCATTATATTCGCATGAAAAATTTCATAAAGATAAGAAAAATATGATGTCGAATAAAAGAAGTGCTCTATAATTTATTGACAAATTTCTTTTTTCCTCTCTCTCTCTCTCTCTCTCTCTCAGTGTTACAATTCTATGTCAAATATGGCTGGATCTATAGACAGAAGCACAAAAAAGAATATTTATCTATAATTGAATCATGGATGTTCAACAAATTCATATAGACTTTGATCATGGCATTGAACTTTTTTTCTCTTTTTAAATTGACATTTATTTCAATCTTTGTTTCTACGAACAAAAAAAAATTCTTTTCTTAAAAAACAAAAAAAGAGAAACAATGGAATGCTATTGAATAATCTACATATATATTCCATATTCATAGATTTTTTTTTGTCAGATGTATACACTGTTTTTTTCTCATTTATTGCACGCGCACACAACACCGAAATAATGACATACAAAAAAAAAAGAAAAAAGAAAACCATACACACACACACATACAATTAAACGAAAAGCATTAAAACAAAACAATCATTCGAATAGAATACATATCACTGATATCCCAAACAAATGTCTTTTTTTCTTGTTTGTTATTTTTCTTAATGCACTTGTTGGAGCAGCTGAGTGTGTGTTTCGACTAGTTAGAATGCTTGAGCAATATTCACACATACAGATAGAACATATAGAAATATATGCAATAGAACAAAACGAAACAACAAAGAAAGAAAAAACTCACGTTGAGCAAAGCAAGCAACTAAAAACGAATTATTTCATAAAACGACAAGAAAAAAATTACAAGATCACCAATTGTTTCTTTCTCTCTCAAAATATCACCTTGGCTAGATAAAATGAACAATTAACAAAACAAGAAAAAAAGAACATCAGCTTTGCCCCTCTGTTTTCAGGTAAGAATATCAACGAGATTTGTTGATTCATTTGCTTTTTGATTTAGTTCGTCATTACTGTCATTTTCAATTATGGTTGAATCATTATGAAATCTTTTTGTTGAATTATTATTTGTTGTGACTATCTTTTGTGGAACTGATTTACGTTTTTTACTACTTGAACTTGATGATGATGATACAGGTGCTATTTTTTGATCATCAATTAATGAACCAATATTTGTTGATGTGGCCGATAGGCCAACTGGACTTGTGGAACTGTTCGAATCGTTTGTACCATTAAGCCATGAACTAATTCAATAGAAAAACAATCGATCATAGATAATTTTTTTTTAATAATATTCTTTTATTTACCTAGTTAAAGGTACAATGGTTGGTAAGATAGGGTAGTCATCGTCGTCATCATCATCTTCATCGTTGTTGTTATTGTTATTATTGTTATTGTTATCATCTAAATCATCGTCATCATCACCACTTTGTGGATTTATTAAATCATCATTATTGATTGATGCTGTTGAAATTTTATTCAATGGACTTGATGATGAATGTATATTTGTTTTAGCTCTCATGCGTGAGTTATGAAACCAATTCGCTATTTTATTCATTGGTAATGATAATTCAGTGACAAGTTGTTCCAATGTTGATTGGCTCGGATATGGTTCATTTTCAAATATTTGTTTTAATACACGACGTTGATCATCGGTAAATAAATACCGACGTTTTGGATTATTATTATTATTATTTGTTGCTGTTGTTGTTGTTGTTGCTCCTGATGATGATGAGAAGGATGAGGATTTTGTTATTGTTGTATTATTATTTTTACTTTCTGAATCACCATTATCTATTTTAGAACCCGGAGGACGAGAACGACGTAAAGCTATCAGATAAGAAACAAGAGCACTCAAGAGATTATGGTAAAAAATTAAGAAATACTAAAAAATAGTCTTACCATCACGTTCTCGTTTCCAAGCAAGAAGTTTTTGCACATTGCCTGTGTCATGATACCATGTATACATACGTAAATAAGGTTCACGACCTTTAACACTTAATGAATGCCAAGGACGAGGTTTTGATAATATTTCACTGACAGTCCCTTGAGATAGATTAAGTACTGCTTCACCTAAAATAAGCAAAAAAAATTATATATATATATATATATCAGAGTGATAGGTAAAGTTATTCAAAAACAAATATCATTAGAATTTATTTTTAGATTTCTTATTAAAATTGCTACTCTAGCTGCCGTACTGAAGACTTGGATTTCAAAAGATATTTTTTTAAAGAATCAGGATGCTTCAAACACGTAGTCTAGACTAACAAGTCCTACATACCAAATACACGTTGGCCAATACTATAAGCAAATAGAAGCTCGCGTACTTGTGAACTTAATTGTTCGGTATCCATTGTAGCTAAATCAAAAAAAAAGAAATGGTTCGATTACAAAGTCGACAAACAAAGAAAAATGATTTATTTACTTGGTAATACTATTTTAGGTAGTTCGTATGGTGTCATAAGTGGATTTGCTGATGAATGTCGACTGTGATTGGATAATACTGATGGTTTGTCATTATTTACTTTTGGAGTTTTAGAACGAGAACGTGATTTATTCGAATTTGTTCCTAATCCATTTGATGTTGATGGCGATGACGATGGAACTTGAATAGTTTCATTGATTAATAATTGTGATGAATCATTGAGTAAAATATTTGATTGTGAATCAGTTGAATTATCTAGTGTTAATAATTTGTTTGTATGATAGCCATTTAATGACGAACTGTTTGCTAGAATTGATGATGATGGTATTATAGATGGTGGACAAAATGTTGGCATTAATATTGAATTTGTTGTTGTTGTTGGCGGCGTGGTGACAGCTGACGGTGATGATGAGATAATTGGTGGCGCTGTTGTAACTGTTTGAACAAGCTGTTTTATAGCATTGGGATCATCAAGAAAAAGACGCATACGAAGAAATGGTTCACGACCTTTTTGTGTTAATAATTCCCATTGTTTTGGTCGAGCGAGAATATCACTAAAATCGAGAGAATGGATTTTATTTTTCTTAAATTTAGATGAGCAAAAGCTTTCTTACCTAACACTTCCCTGAGATAGTCCGAGAATTTTTTCTCCAAAATGTCGTTGTGATATACTATAACGACTGAGAATATCTTTAACGGTTTGTACTAATTCCATTGTATTGATATAACGATACTTTGATGTATCTTGTTCACGTAATGGTGCTAAGGCGGTTTTAGTATGTTTTGTTGATATGGGCTGTTTACTGTTGGATACTTTAATTGATGTTTGTTCCATATCATGTTGATTTCCGTCCATTTTCATACTTAAATCAAGTGGAATTTCATCTGAACTTGTAGGATTTTCATCGTCCATATCATCATCATCATCATCATTTGAATTTTCATCATTTGAATTTTCATCATCATCATTGTTATTATTATTATTATTATTATCATCGTTCTCTTGATCGCTTTCATCGTCGTTTTCATTTGTTCGTGGTTGAAATTGTTTCATTAAATCATTATTACGAAAAATTTCTTGTAACATAAGCCAATTTCGATAATTATCTGGTTGATGACGAAGTAAACTGAATGGTGATGATGTTGAACAATCGAGAAGATTGTTGGTTGTTTTGTCTGTATTGAAACTGTTTGCTGTACGCATTAGTAATGATGGAACAAATGCGGACAGCATTGATAATGATGATGGTGTTGTTGTTGTGGATGATGACGGGGGTGGTGGTGGTGGTGGAACAGGAAGTAAAAATGGTTGCTGATCAGATGGTACGGGTTCGTGCGATGGAGAATTCATTGGCGAGGAATTTGCTGATGAAGAGTTCGAAGAAGAGGATGAAGATTTTGATTCGAATTGATCTATGGAAAGGTTTGTATTAGAGACATCATTAGGAAAGGAACTACAGGGTGATAGTAAATGTTTTTGACCCTAAAATTTAAAAAAATAAATTTGAATTTTTCAAAGTCAATAGGAAAATATTTTTATTTTATTTACAGCAGCTGCAGCAGCGGCAGCAACTGCTGCTGCTATTTGTTGTTTTTGAGCATCAGCTAAGATTTGAACAATTTTTTGATGAGTTGCTGGATCAGTATGTTTCGTGCTCATAGCTGGATACGGATTATCTTTTGAACCTATTTAATTAGCAAAACGAGTTTTTGTTTTTCATTAAAATGATTTATTGGCATATGTTTTCTTTGTTTTGTCTACTTACGATTATTCATACCTTTGCGTGGACTAATACTCTTTAATGTTAATATACTTTCTTCGGAATTAGCCCAACACCACATTTTTCGATAACTTTCTTTTCCTTTTTCAGTTAATTTTGACCAACATTTTGGTTTCGACAATAGTTCACTAACAGTACCTTGTGATAAACTCAGTATATATCTTGCAAATATACGTTGACCTATATTATGTTGTGCAAGAAGTTTTCGTACAACATTAGCAACATAGGTTGTATCGAGTGGTTCAAGTACACTTGCGTTATTTGGTGTGACTGCAGTTGAACATGTCGATGGTACAAGTACAGTTGGTGATGGTGATGGCTTAGGTGATGTTTGTTTAGAAGATTTCATTACTGTTCGATTATCTGTAGATGTTGTAGCTATACTAGATACACCTGATGACGAAGATAATGGTGGACTCCACGATGATGTTGGCGGACAATGAAGTTTTGTACATTGGACGGATGAAAGGTGATGACCTAAAGAATGATTTTATTGGACATTTCTTTCATCTATTTGTGTCTTTTTACCTGGAAAGAGATTGGACGGCGTTAATGTAGTTGTTGTTACTGATGAAAGAAGCGAAGCAGTTGGTGTAACCATAGTTGAACATGATGTTGTCAACGATGGATACTTTGAATTTGTTGAATTTGTAAAAGAATTGCACGATTGAAGATTTCCTTTTGTTGTTGTTGTTGTTGTTGTTGTTGCTATTAATGAAAGGGACGTTGGTATACATGGAATCATTTTTTTTGATGGCTCATCAATACCATTACAATTTAATGTTGATTGTTGAGGAGGTTTTAAATAAATCTGAGAAGGTGATGAAGGAGAAGACGACGAATTTGATGATGAAGAAGCAGATGAGGATAGATACGATGGTACAGGTATATATGGCGCATTTGTTCGGTGCAAACATGGAGAAGTACAATGGCGGCATGAATGTTGAAGTTGATGATGATTAGTATTACCTAGAAAACGTGATAGATAAGTTGTAATAGCATGCATAGAGAAAAGTCGAACATCAATTATCATTATTATTATTAGTTTGCTTTCTTGTCATATGATTGAAAGCATGGTTAAAAATAGACAATAGCCAATCAAACAATGTGCTGTGTTAGAGGGATTAGTTGAACTTACTTTCGGAATCAATTTGTGACATTTTGATTTGTGTCTGTTCATCTTGTAAAGATCGGTCTTTTTCTAATAGTAATGTTTCGAAAGATTTTTTTGGTAGACTTTCTGTTTGATCATCATTGGAACGATTTGTTCGTGGAAATTCAATTGATTTCAACACACTAATAGAGGAAAAGAAAAGAAGAAGAAAAAAAGTAGATAAGAATGTTGTTCATCCTTATAATATAAAAATCCGTTACTGACGTCAATTCTCGTTTGATTTCATCGTAATCGGCTTGAGTTTGTAATTTATTTTCCAGTTGTGCAATTAACTTTTCTTTTTCACTTAACACATTTTCAAGATCAGAAATCTGCCAAAATAAAAATAACAGTATAATTCATTGAAGCAAAAAGGAGAGAGAAGAAAGAAGAACCGACAAGTTCTTTCATTCAATGAAAATATTTTTTCTACCTGTGTAAAAGAATTTTCTTTAATTTTAATCAATGTTGATTGTAATTTTTGTGCTTCATCAACAAGTGTAACTATTTTACATTCTTTAGCTGCCAATTCAAGCTCAAGTTTTTCACGTAATTTCCGTTCTATTTCTTCTTGTGAAATCATCAATTCATCAGATTTATTATTTGTTACCCGGTTTTTTTCAAAATCTTCACATAAATATCGTTCTGCATTTGATGTTTGCTAATGAATAAATAAGAAGTAAAAAAAAAGTAAAAGTAAAAGTAAAAATTCTTTTTTTCTATCTATCACAAGATAGCTAAAATAGAAATTGATGATTTACCTTATTCATTTGTTCTTGATTATTGGATGAAAACAGATTAGTTGTATCGTCTTGTTTAAGTTTATATTCGAAGATATCTTGATGTATAGGATGATCTAATACTGATTGATGCATTTCCATGTGTGCATATTTTTTAATAAGATCAAATTGATGGTCTTTATCAGCTAGACAAAAGTAAAAAGAAAAACGTAATGTAACCAAAAGTAACAAAATATAAAATTTATTTATGTAGAGATGATTCTCTTATCAGTTTCAAATAAAAACACAAGAGAGAAAAAAAAGGCGATATTGTATACCGAAGATATGTTGGAAGTCTTCTTTGTCTTTGATGTGTTGCTAGAAATAGAAAAGAAAAAATCATTTCAATAAAGATTCTTTTCAAAAGGAAAGAATAACTATTATCTTAGACTTGAGATTTTTATCCTATTGAATATAGAAGAACAAAAAAGAGAAAATTTGCTTCTACCCAGTTAGGGTCTTTTAAAAATTTACTTCAATTTTATTATTCTTTTATATAATCGAAGTGAAATTTCTCTTTTACTATATTTATAAAGGCATAGAAGAAGAAGAAGAAGAAGAAGAAGAAAGAGAAAATAAATGTAAAATGTTACCTGTATGATTACTTCTGGTTTTTTTTCCAAATCTTTGATTTTATCACGTAATTGCTTGATTGTCAATTCTATTATTATTATTTTTAGATTCTTTTATTCTGTTGGAAAAAAATCTCTTCTTTTCTTTACCTTGACTTTTGACATGAGCTAATTCGTCTATAAATAAATTTGATTGAAAAATTATTTTGAACAAAAATTATCTCTATTTTTTACTTAATATTTCTTTTAAATTTTGATTTTGTGCTGCTAAATCAGACACTTTCTCTAATCCTGTCTGTAATGTTTGAGTGTACTCAAGAATTGGCACCGGATCTTTAACTAAAGTAAAGAAGAAGAAAAAAAAGCATGTTAAAAAGATAAAAGGAGAACAGAGAGAAAAGATATTTAATCATACCTGGTAATTCACTTAAATGTTGATAAATTTTTAAAAGAGTTTCTTCAGTTAATTTGCTTTGTTTTGATAAAGTATCTATTTCGATCTGGAACGATTTTAATATAGGTGTAATGGATTTGCGCACATCCTAACAGACACAAGTGACAAAGTCAACACTTCTATGTAAAGAAGAAAAAGATGAAGAAATGTCGAAGATATGATGTTGTTATCGATTTACAGTATAAGTGTGTGCTTAACAAGAGGTAGCAATTTCTTCTTTTTTTTTGTAACTCAGCTCACAGACACTAGTAGGGATGATGATGACGATGATGATTAGAAAGAGAATATCGCATAAGAAATGATGATGATGATGATGATGATGATGATAAGGTGTCGGTCGGTTTTCTTACTCTCCCTCTCTCTCTCTCTCTCTCTCTCAATTCTATTTTTTTTCAAGAGGGCTATGCGTGCCGTCGTCTATCTATCGCACTCGTTTATGAAAGAGGAAGACGAGACAGGTGATAGATAGATTTCTTTTTTTTTTACTTCTTTATACTCACTAGATCGAAGCAGGTGTTTACTAAACGAGAATATAAAATCGCGTGCTATATTTGTGTCTTTCTATTTCTTTCTCTCTGTCTCTCGCTCTCTCTATTATTTGTCCAAAAATTGCACAATACGATCAATTCTCGGCCAATCATTGGCGAAGACCAATCGCGAATTATTTTTCTCTTTCTCTCTATCTGTCTCTTTTTCTATAAAGGTATAGGCATTCTTTTTTGCCTTCTCTTATTAACCGACCATAAGAGCAGAACGCACAAAGACGAGAAAGAGACATAGAAGAAGACTAAAGAGAGTGACAACAGGAGTCTGTCGCACATCGTTTTGTGTTATGAATATTTTATTCTTGAGCATAAATATATAGAAATGAAAAGATAGATATAGAAAGAGAAAAAAATTTCAATCATCATTGCGTTTATTCTATATGAGCGAACGTCACTTGTCTTTTTCTCTATTAGCAATCATCGGGTGAGATGCCGGCAACGGAAGTCTCACAATGTTTATTCAAACAAAATGAAATGAACACACATATAGACACACGCATATAGAAACGCAAAATGCATTGCATTACATTGCGTTCGTGTCGATTAACTGGCGCACGATTCACTTACACACACTTTTGCTATAATAAAAAAAGAATTTAGATGTGAGAAGGAGAAAAGAGAAAAAATATTTAAGACGAATATGATCGGAAACGTTTTGTATTTTAATCATCCGCTAAAGAGAAACCTTAAAAACAAATAAAGAAGCGTCGAAAAAGAATTTTTCATTACTAAGATCGACGCACACGCACCGGTGGTGATGCAGATCGACAAAGAATATTAGGCACTAAGGCTCTACTATCGTTGTTATTATGATCGGTTAGCTCACTTCCTTACATCCCTGCGAGGCATTTATCATATATACAGGTGTATCTTTATATATATATATATATATATATATATATCTGCATTCATATTCTTATACGTGACGGTAGTGCGGCATCAACTCAAACAAAAAAAGAAATCACTTTAAGTTTAAAAATTTTTTAGCAACACTTTTTACTCGTTTGACGAATGTGTTCATTCAAAGTGGTTCAATCACCTGAAGTGGAGACAGACAGAAAGTAGTAAAAGACAAGAAACAACAAAGGACATAAAAAGAAAAAAAGGAATGATTCTCTATTTTCTGATTGGTTTTTATATGTAATTGGAGGAGCGCGCGGGTGTTCGATTTTCTCATCGGAAGAGTTGCGTGCCGATGGGCACCAAAAGTAATCAACTAGAGTTCACTACTATTACTCTTTTACCAACGACAACGACAACGACGACTCGATACACGCGACAGAGGAGGGCAGAGCGAGTGAGAGAGAGAGAGAGAAGGACGAGATCATGATATCGAATGATCACGTCTAATTAGAATCTCCATTTATATGTGTGACTAGCAGGGACGAACGCACGCGCATCGACTTTTTACCACCTAACAGAATAGAAAAGAAGTAATGTAGAAGAATAAGAATGCGAAGAAGTATAAAAAAAAGAAGAAGAAAATCAATTACGAAAGAGGAAATTGACCCTTGTTTGTGATTAGTTCTGATGTAGATCCGACTTAGTCGTTGACGCACCGACCAAGACATTCTTTAAGTATTTCTTCTTCTTCTATTCCCTCTTTGTCTTTCACCTTCCTTTCTTCTCGTCATTCAGGAGATGCTGTCTGATTAAAATTTCAGGAAAATGGAAAGAGAGTGAGAGAGAGACCGAGGGAGCAGTGAAAAGTCATCAACCTAAACAAGATTTGACATAATTCAACACACCGTATGTTGTGTATGCGCCTGTGTGCACATTCGCTCTCTATTCATCGAGCGCTTCGAAGAAGCTTTTCTCTCATCTATTGAAAAGAAAACACCAGGTAGAAGTAGTAAGATGATGATGATCAAAGTATAAGAAAGAAACATAATGGTTGTCGCTCCGCCTATTGAATATGTAAATCATGTCTCTTTTCTTTCTTTCTCTCTCTCTCTCTCTCTCTTCTTTCTTGTCATCGTGAATGCGTATAAGATGAACTGAAGTCTTTCTGTTTCATTCGCTCATTTCCTTTAACGTGAACGATGAGTGAAGAAATAATGATGAATAATACAAATCGTCGCCCGCTAAGGGGGCGTGTATGCGCGCACAGGCACATACATACATACATACACACACACAAATATATAGATCTCTCTTTCTCTCTATATATACATGAAAAGAATCGAATGTATCGGAACTACTTTGGAGAAGCTACATTAGCCAAATGATAGGCCGCTAGTTTGTCATTCCGTAGAGGGATTATAGAACAACAGAGGGAGAGAGAGAGAGAGTTGAAAAAAGGTTTTTTTGTGTTTCTCTGCTCAATCGCACGCAGACAGACGGTCTGTCATCACGCACAGACTCAGAGGAGACTATTCTACTGTGTCATTACCGGGTGATGATCAGGAGGCGAGGAAAAACGAGACACAATTAAAGACTATAGTGATGTTGCTGGAGATGATAGATACAGAAAGAGACAAAAAAAACTCCGTGTCTCTCTCTCTCTCTCTCTCCCCTCGATTGAAGTCGAGTGTATGTTGTATATGAGATGGAATTGACTTCTTCATCAAGTTCAGTCTTCATTGCAAACAAGAAAGAAAAAGAAACAGAAGATCAAAGATCTTTGCACACGAGTGCACATATGAAGCACGTTTCAAACAGCAATAAATCACACGTTAAGAACAGACTCTCTTGTATATGATTGACAAGTCATCCTAATGAGGTGTATGAGGTGTGTATAGTTAGTCAGGAAAGAAAAATCAATTTTCGCCCCCTAATGTTCAAGACATATTCAATTGAAATATAGAAATGAAATTTGATTATCACCTTTGTGACGCGACGCACATAGGTAGTTTGACTGCTGTTACTTATCGCTGATCGACTTTTATTTCACTTTAACAAATTAGAACAAGAGTAGCAGCATAGGTGCACCGCATGAAAGCGGCAAATGGAAAGTGTATGTAATGATTTTTGCAAATGAATGAATGGAGTGGTGGTAGTTGAGGTGTGCTTAAGAGAGAAAAAAAGGAGAGTGTGAGCAGATGCTGAATGTATGCTAAAGATCTAACTCGTTCAATTTGAAAATCAACAATATATGTTCATGAATGAAGAATGCGGAAGAATTAAATGTATCGAAGAATTCTATTTTAAAAGTAAAAGAGTTGATCATTGATGCAAGAAGAAAGAAAAATAACAGCAACAGCAGCAGCAGTAGCAGTATATAAAAATTTACTTTTATTGTAATAACGAAAGACGTTTTTGTTGTTTATCACGTTCTTTTACTATAATAATTTGTTTTTTTTTCTTCTTCTATATGTACTTATGTAATCATAATAATAGCTCGATTTGTTTATTGCTGAACTTTTTCGGCCGATCGCATCAGTGTCAACTCTAAATGAACGATGAATTTCGGCGGGTTTTTTCTTCTTCTTCTTCTTCTTCTTCTTCTTCTTCTCCTTTCTTGTTGTAATCCGATCTTGTCCTTTCAACGATATTCAATTCATTGAACTAAATGGGGACACCTTTACATACAAATTGATCCTTTCGCCTTGTATTTCCTGTATATATTGTATATGAAAGAAAAGAGAAAAGGAAAATGTTTCTAAATCAGATGAGCTATTGTTATTGTCGGAATCTATATGTCACTACCGCACTATAACGGAGTGTATTGTTACTGTGAGATCGTGCGTAAAATAAAACGACGAATAGACACAAGTTAGTCCGACAAACAAGACAGATACATACACGCAAATTAGTTCAACTATACACCTGCATAAACGATGGTAGTCCAGGAAGTGCAATCTTGCTTCGAAGGGAAAAAAGAAGAACATGAAGAAAATGATGATTATGATGATGATGATGATGATGATGATGATTATTATGATGAGAGCTGTCGAACGATCAGTCTATCTTACAGATGATCACGTTCTGTAGCTCAAAATAAAAAGAGACAATAGAAGAAAAATTCTGTCCGCTTACACACGCACTTATACACGACTGATGATCACGAGTACCTGTCTTTCTCGTTTTTGCCTATTTAATGATCAATTAAAAATGGAGGATAGAGAAAGAAATAAGAGGATCCACCTACCTCATTCGCATTTTTCTTAAAATCTCGAGTTAATTCAACCAATTTTCTTCTTGATTGATCACTTTCATCAGCACAACTGACTATTTCAATTGTTGTCACGTCTAAATCATGCTAGAAAGATAAAAAAGAAAAGAATAATATTATTCTATTTAATAATTATATTCAATCATTTACATTGATAAACATATTTTCAATCATACAATACAAAATTGATAATATTTGATAATAAGTGGAACAAAAAATATTAAACGAGGCAAGAAAAAGAGAAGAAAAAATAATGCATCTCGTGTACACGCGCAAGCATACACCATTCTCAGTGAACTATATATCTATATAGACAATACACCCGGGTACCATCTTGCGCCAATATGTGTATCGTGTCGTGTCATCATCTACAATTAATCGATTGTTTCTCAGTTGTCGGCTCCGAAAGTGATTTGTTTTATTGCTTTCCCTTTTTTTCTTCGGGTTTCTTTTTGACATTATGTTCACTGACAATTTTCTCGCTCAATTCGTTTATTGATACAACTGTACATGTGATGAGCGCACATGCATATTTATATACAGACAAAATTGTCTGTCGTCACTAGTAGAAATGATCATAATTAACGATCATGGATCATTAGTTGTTTGTTGTTGACAATATCTTTTGCAACATACATACACACATATATATATATACATATAAATATATATATATATATACATAGTATAGATAGATGTTTCAATGAGAGAAAGAGAAAAGCGGAATAACAAAGCTGGATGTTGTCAATTCAAGATTAGGTTTACTTGTCGAGTCTTTCGGGAAAAAAAAGAGGGAGAGTTGATTGATATAGATTAGGCACGGCATCTCTTCTCAAGGAGGAAATCAGCGATGTCTTATGGTGCTGCTACTCAAGTCAATGTCGCATTTCTTTATTTCTTTTAGGTTGATAAACGAACAAGTCAAGAGAGAGAGAGAGAGAGAGAGAGCTGCAAAGAGATATTCGTCTCAGTTGCAGTTCTTCTTATCTTCTCTTCTATGATGAGTGTGTCAATATCCAAGTACGAAGTGCTCCGTGGGATGTACCAATAAACATGACGCCAAGTTTCACCACACATCAACGATATACTTCTAAGATCAATCATCGCGGACAAACACATATACACAAGATGCAATTTTTCAACTTTCTAGTTTTACCTCAAAATACATACCAATATAGTCTATATGTATATGCTTGGATTCATTCATTCACTGATGTCGATCATTCATTCAGGTTATTTATCATATGTTTACAACTACGGATAAGAAAAAGATGGGCAATATTTCTTTTAGTAAAAACGATCATTATTGAAATAACTCCATTTTCTTTTGTTTCTTTCGTTCGTTAAAAAAAATAACTTCACATATATCTATCAAACAAACTACTCTATTCTAGACATCGATCACTCAATCTTATTTTTTGAATTCCATCACGTATATATCTCATACTACTTTTTTTTTTTATAGTTCACACTATATATATATACATAATATATATATATATGCACACTTACAGAATCGATTGCAACACCAAGACAGAACTATTAACGGATATTGTCGTTGTCGTGATACCAAATACACACGATATCTCTATCTGTATCATCATCATCACCGACAAACATAATAAGTAGTAGTTTAGGAAAGAGAGCGAGATATAGAGAGATGCGATGGAGGCGCAAGAGAGAACCCTAATCACAGGCGAACAGTAGTAATATAGAAGAACAACAAAACAAAGAAGAAGGAAAACAGTCGAACAAGGATATTCTTCGACAGCGATTGCTATGCATAGAACCCGATCTATTATCATTATGCGACATGTAGCCAGCTAGAGATCGAGCGTCAACGGTGACGATTACATGATTAGTTCTCGAACTCTAACGGAGAAATAGAGAAGAACAAGAACAAGAACAAGAAAAGAAAAGAAAAGACAAGAAGGTCGGCTACCTCTTCGATTTGTTTCACCTAAATGAATAAGGTGAAACAGGTTACTTATTTAAAAATCATACCGAACAATACGATGAGTAAAAGTGTCATAATATCGAAAAGGTTATTCTCACAAACCTAACGTTTTCTTTTTGAGACTTAAAATAAATAATTATAAATACGCACTTATATTAAAATTTTATGTTGATAGATATTTCAAAGCTTTATGTTAAACTGTTTTATTACACAACAGGTTGATCACCCAGTTCATTTTCTTTTTCTCTACTGAACTGATCAAGAAATCTAACTCGAAAAGATAGATAGAGAAACACTTGACAAATAAAAGAAGAAGAAGACGAAGAACAAAAGAAAGGTGAAGATAATAGTTTGATGTGTCATGTCAACACACGAACGAACTGTTTAGATATGAAGAGAACACTTTACCTGCATTGATTTCAAATCAATTGAAGTCCATTGTTTAACTATTGATTCATTGTTTTTACTTGTTGTCGTCATTGTTCATCTGAAATTTTCCTATATATATATTTAGAATAGACTAGTACCTATTTGTCATCTATTAAAAGTACTAAAATAAAAATAAAAGTAGAGAACTATAAGAGAGCGTATTTATATACACATTACATGAGTTCAATAACTCCACCTACAGCATAACTCTCAATTTAAAACATGTGTGTGTGTGTGTATATCGGTAGAGAAATGTATGTGTTCACCTGCATCTGCCAATATATATATATATATATATATATATGGTTGTGATTGTTTTACTTGTCTTTGCCTGAATAGGAACAAGGGCGAGAGAACTGATAAACGATGGTAGAAAAATTTCTATGTCACTCTCACGTTCTTTTTTATCCTGCACTATTTTTTATTTCGAATGTTTGTTCCGATCATGTTGTTATCGACTCGACGGCAAAGTCACGGCTTGGCGAGTGATCGCGCAAGCATGTGCACATACACATACATATACAATGACGACTTTATTGGAAATGGCTGTTTATGATCGATTACCAGCCAAGTCGACTTGCAACACGTCGACAAAGAAAGAGAAAGGAATAAAAGTGTAGAAGCGAGCAGAGGGGGGAGGAGGAGATATTGACGATAGTACGAATATTTGTCAACATGTGAAAGTTCGATATAATACTTCGAATTCTTTTGCAATCAAATCTTTTATAAAACTAAGAGTTAAATTCCTTTTTTTTTCTTGTTTTACTTTACTTTGCTACGTATCACCATCAAAAAAACGAAATATAGATTAGCAAAAAGAAAAACTGATACATACAATAAACTGTATTGCCATTTCTTCTTTTTTTTTATGCATGTATATTATATACTATATGTATGTGTGTGTGTGCGTGCGTGCATTCGTGTGCTGAAGGTGAAAGCAAAACGACAATGACGATCTTACCTTATTGATCTAATCAATTCTGTCGTCAAGATCATAATAATTCTTTTCGAACCCTTCATCGTCTTTCTCCTTCCTTGGGGGCGACTTATTGAGAGAGAGAGAGTGCACCTGATTTATGATCAGCTTTATGGGTGTATAGATGCATGTCTGCTCCTCCCTTCTTCTTCCTTGTTCGTGTTTCGCTCTCCTATGCTTTAAATGAATGTTCGATGTTAATGCATTAGAAGAAGAAGAAGAAGAAGAAGAAGCAGAAGAGAAAAAAATGTTACTAGTATTCAGATCATTTCAACATCAATAAATCAGGTAGATTCTCTATTCTTTATGTCTTCGTATAGATTTACATTGTCAATTTTGTTAAATATACAAGCCCGGGAGGTAACATCCTGCTAGAAGAGTTTGACACGCTACCGACATATGCCCCTATACTCATAAGGGCTAACTTTCACATAAAATGATGGTGATTGGCATTGGTGAGACGACGACAACGACATGAATTGCAAATTAGATACGACTGAAGAAAATTGTTTCAACATTAATGAGAAAAGAAAAGATCGCAGAAGAAAAAAGAAAAGACAACTATTCCAATCGAATAGTAAGCTATACCTGTAATAGGAAAAAAAGTCAAGTATTCATTAATTGTAGAAATAGTCGGCAAGAAATGGAAAGGTCAAATCAATGGATTTTTAGACAGCATAATCAGAGGAAAGAGTAACGTCATAGAAAAAGCTAATGATCACTATTACTAGAAGTCTCAAAAGACATAAATGTATAGAATATTCATTATGTTCTTACTTACTTACTTACTTACTTACTTACTTACTTGTTCATAGATGGAGGTCCGTACAAGTAATCTATCTATATATCTATCTATCACGATTTCTTTCTTTCTCCGTATGATATTTTTGTTCTATGTAATTGACATAATAACTAACAGAAATAATACTATTAAATAAAGAAGCTATTTATCTAATATGTTTGATTGTATTGATTAGGAAGAGTCAATATAGCGGTTTTATTTTTCATTTCTATTATTATTATTTATTTGGAACAAAAAAATATGGATAACACAGACACAAGAGATCTATAGTCTTGAACAAATGAGTATTTTTTTACGTAACAATAATAAAAGAGACAATGATTTACGAAAGACTGCAAGTATATGCAAACAAGAATAAATTGATATTGAGATTTAAAATCATTTCATTTCTTTGATGTTTTGACTTTTTTTGCTGGCTTTAGTTTACAATTTTCTTCGTCGTCATCAGCATCGGTAATTTCTTTTTTTCGGCACGTTTTCGTTTTCGTTCATTGGCTTCATTTTGTAAATGTTGTGCATTTTCATAAATATAACGATAGTTTCCTGGATCTATATCAACTGGTTGGCTACGAACACGTTCTCGAGCTGTATAGGGTACGGCTATAATAGCACTTTGTTCGTTATCTTTTATTTCTAACATAATATCAAATTTGAGATCTCGTGTTTCACGTGTACATAATTCAAAATGTTTTTCATCGATATGCTCCGTGTGAGCGCCTAGCCGTTTTCCTGTTTGTTGTGTAGCACAGCCGATCAATGGACGTTGACCTTTTGGCCATGTAGCAAAATATTTTTTCATAGCGTCAATCATTGTTTCACCATTATTTAAACAAGCATGGCAAAGATTATCAAGGTATACTTGTATGCTCGTGTATTTAAAGACAATCTTCAACAGAAAATAATCGATCATCATTTTCAATAACAAGACGTTGACGAACAGAATCACTTAATTTTGTTTTATATTTTTCAATAAATCAACCCATCGATGCCAAATAGCAAAAGAAAAGACATTGCTTTAGATTTATTCTCTACTGAAAGATTAGAGCCGATAAAGCAGACTATGTTTTATTTGCCCTTTAAAAAATGTCAAATTCTTGTATAGATGTAATAGCTTTTGAAGACATACCGAGACTTTTATTGTTCTACTTTTGCATAAGAAATCGAAATATTTTCGGTAGTAAAAAAATCGTCTCTCGTCGTTTTCGAGTAGAAATCATTCAGACGACTAACGTTTTTATCATCCTATACACCACCAACATGAATTTGTATTTTAGCACTTGCATCTATAATCCACTTCATCCAGCAGTCGACAATGATAATCAAGTTCAGCAATACTTCGATTAATAATTTTTTCATCTTTAGCATCAATTAAACAAAATTGATCAGGGTGCATACCAGTCCGAAAATCGTTATCTTTAATATATTGACCTATACGACGCAATGTTGATGAAAAATGATTTGCCCAATCGACTGTACATATTGAATGGTACTGTTTGAGATGATATACGAAACAAAATAAAATCCATGTTGAACATTGTATTCAAGAATTTTTGTAAACATAAGTAATTTTGTCCAGTAACTTCGAGACATTTTTCATTCGTATATTGAGCTAAACGAAACACGTGATTCGCTGTACATAGACTTGTACAACCAATTTTCATGCCAGCCGTAGGAACAAGTTGAGCAGCATATCGTCGTAACAGAGAATTTTTTTCTTCTACTTTTTCAATTTTGACTGGTTTCGTTTCTTGTTTTTCAATTTTAATCGTTTGTTCTTCGCTGTTAACGAGTTTTTCTTCTAAGTTTTTAGTTTTAACCGGTTTCTTTTTTGTTCCAGTTTCTGAAATAATTTTATCCAAACGTTGACTACGTTGACGTGCTTGCTTCCATTCTATTATTCTGAAATCGAATAAATACTTTTTTAGACAAAAAAAAACAAAACATTACGTAGGTAATGCAGAAAGTTTCAATTTTGTATTCAACAACAAATAAAATAAAAGATTGCAAATACTACTGACACTCATTTATCAAATACTAAAATGTTACTTGATATATTCGTTTTAAATCTAAAAGTCTATTATCATTATTATTGTAAATAAACCATAAAACAACACAAAGAACAAAACAAAAAGTCAGCACCAACACTCCCAAGTGTATCGAATCTGACCAAACATAACATAAATATAATAATAAAACATTCTCTCATTTATATATATATATATGTATCAAAAGAAAAACTAAGAATTACAAAATCGTACAAGTACAACATTTAGCATTGTTTTCTTGTTTCTTCTTTTTTGACGATGACATATTATTATTTGTTTGATACTGACATTTATTTCTTCTTATTAATCGTACAAGTTCAATGAATATCTCATCAATATTATGACGGGTACGAGCTGATGTTTCAAAATAAGGTATACGCATGGAAGCGGCTGCCGCACGAGCATGAGCATCCATACCCGTTTGACATATATCTAATTTATTTCCAATTAGTAACATTGGTACATTATCGGTATCTTTAATGCGTAATATATCACGATGTAATTTATAACACTCATCCAATGAACGACGATCCGTCAAAGAGAAAACAAGTAAAAATCCTTCGCCAACACGTACATATTGATCACGCATAGGTTTAAATTCTTCTTGTCCTGCTGAATCAAGTATTTCTAATTGAGCGATTTGATTATCAATTAAACATTGTTTTACATAAGAATCTTCAATAGTTGGATCATAGTCGGAGAAAAAAAATGATTTCACAAATTGTATAGTTATTGCAGACTAAAAGAAACATAAATATACAATCGATATTAAATCTGATTGAAGATTACGATGAAAGATTGACAGATGTATTATTTCTTATAATGATTATGTTTACAAAAGTTCAGTTCATGACAAGTGAAAAATGTCAGATAATGCTATGAACACAGCATGATTGAGGAATCAATTATAATATTACTAATAACATCATGTCTATGTCAATAGAATAATACCCTCATACTTAAGTTTGGATTTAACTATTCTTTAGAATACTATTTAAATTTGTTTCGTTTGATATAGAATAAGTAGGCAAAGAAAACAATACTACAAATCTTTAGAGTAACTTAATCTTTTTCTTTCTCGGGCGGTCGAACTATTGTTATAGAATACGAATCTCAAACATGCACAATCGTAACAGAACCACAATAACAAAAAAAATGAATCTTACTTTGCCGACGCCACCACTACCTAATACAATAATTTTGTATGTTGGCTTGTCTTTGGTTTTTTTCGTTGCCGCATTCACATGACCATTTCCGGAGGACCTTTTATGATTTCGTGGCATGCGTCTTTCTATCGACTTTCTAAACAAATCGAATGAATCGGTCTTTGTACCAAAAAAACACAAGCTATCTTCTGGATGTATATGAGAGAATAGAAAAAGAAAGAAAGAAAAGAGAGGAAAGAAGAACTGTCAACTCGTATATTATGTATAGAGTGATCAACATTGATTTACTCGGCAGTATGCCCAATGCTTCTCGTTCATGTACCTTGACTATTGATATGTAATGTATATATATATATATGTATTACTTCCAAGCTTGAAGTGATAGTTGTTGGCATATATGCCTCTATGGCCTTGTCATCATTATCATCATCTTGGTCGTCGTAACTCCGGCGTCGGTCTCTGATGATTTATGAGAGAACAGATGCCATTGACCCCTCATCGAATGCAAAGAGAGAAGATCAAACATTGATATCTAGAGTAGAAAAAGAAGAAGGAGGAAAAAAAAAGATGTCGATGATTAGAGAATACTCTAGGCGAATGCATTTGGGACAGGTAAAAGAAGATAAAAATGAGGAAATACGACGCAAATGTTCTCGTTTTTTGTTTTGCTTCTATTGACTATGTCTATCATATTTTACTCAGCATAATATGCCAGAGGAGAATTATGTATTATTATAAAGCTTCTGTTCCTTGCCGGACAAATGCAACAATATCATTTGTCGTTGTTGGATAATGATAAAACTTTGAACTTTGTCTAATTATTTTTGTTCTCTCGTAATTATTGCATTACATTCTTTTGTAATAGTCAATCATGTATTTAGAGAAAAATAACGAAAGCGAAGGCTTATAACAACTGTTGATGTTTGTGCTTATCATTTTACTGAGAAGAAACTATTTTTCGATTCTACTGCTGCTAAATGCGTTAATTGATTCCGTCAAGCACCATGTACACTACCTGTTGGTGTTCGTTCAAATGAACAAATTCGAATGTTTGTTCAGCGATGTAACATTTAACAATAGAGGGGGAAAAGTAAAATGAGTTCGTCGTTTGATTGCATAACTGTGTGTTTTTTTTTGTGCTCATTTCGGTTCATATTCTGTCTCTCGAGTAGATATTGGCATTGGCACGCTATTTATATGCACATTCTTTGTTGTAATCAAGTTATTTAGTTGGTAAATTATGATCTTGACAATACAGTAGTAGTAGTAGTAGTATGAACACTCCCGTCACAATTTAGAGTAGGCAAAATGTCAACATTCAATCCCGCCGAGCGATTTGTAATCTTTCCCTTCTTCAATCAATCGTCATTCTGTCGATTCCTGGTAATTATTCCACAGAGGGAGGCGTATATACATATATATATATATAATCTCTATGAAGAATGGTCGTAAATCATTATATACTTATTGATTTCCTACTACTCTTTCTGTAGTATATCAAACTAAGTAACAGGATAGAGGACATGTCCATGAAACAGTTCTTATGCACATATCATTTACTAGTACTGAAAGAATTGGAGACATTCAATAACCTTCTATTTCTATCTTCGTAGAAAAGAAATAATTCCACACCGAGCAAATCGTTCGAATAAAAATCATAATCAAAACTCGTTCTCGATCTATTTTATTTTGAAAGAAAAACAATTAATGTTCGAGTTCATTTAAAATTGAATAATTACTTATCAACAGACTTCCGCTTGATTTATGATAATTAAAAATCGATTTATTTATTGTTACAAAATAGAAAAAGATCAATAGACATAATCGAACGTTTCTACAAGTAGACTGATCGATGATAGAATCCTCAATAGAAAAAGAAATTATTATTTTGTTCAAATCTATACATAGTAGTAACGCAATGTGATACTAACCAGTTGTTTTTGTTTATTTCATTGAAAGAGCAATCTTAGTACTTGGAAATAAATTATCGATATCTGGTTTCATCCGTACAGTAAATATAAATCAATATCCTACATAAAGAGTATTCAACATTTTGGTTGAAAGAAACCAGACAATCAATTTTCTAGGGTAGACTTTGGAACAAGGGCATTGTTTTAATTCGTAATCGTCATACAGGATTGAACAGCTTCGTTGACTTGTTAATGTAATGAATTATCAAGATCAATAAATTTAATGTCGTATATAAATTATCTGAAACAATTGAATAAATCAGATAAAAATGAAAATCATATTATTACGTTATGTTTAATAATATAAAATTTATCGATATAATTTATATTTTGAAAAAAAATGTTCAACATCTTTCTTGTAATACGGTTTAACAGCAATCGCTGTTGGAATATTTTCTGGTTGTTCCATCCATAAATAATGTTCGATTGAATTTTGTTTAAGTAAATTACTTAATTCGTTTAATTCATTTTCATTTCCATCTATGCCTAAAACAACTTTATGCATTCGGTCTAAATCGTTCAAGTATGATTTAGTTAAATCGTCATTTATTGTTTTATATATAATAGCACTTGATGCATGACATGCTTGAGCAATAATAGCGCCATCATTATAGTTCTTCATTTTTTTAAGATCACGTCTTAATAAAATATATTGTACAATAACGTTAACTGACGCTGACATTGTTCTCTTAAAGCTAAAATTAAAGTAAAAAAAGGATTGCCTTTCCACTATCTACAAAAGATTCGATAGATCTTCTTCTATTGTAAAATTAAAAATCGCAGTATAAAAAATAGAAAAAAAAATTAAAGTTCGATGTTTTTTGCTGTTGATGTTCTAGGAACATCCGATGTATGAAGCCATTCATTGGGAAAGAATACATTACGTTCGCTATGATGTTTAACAAGAAGTTCATTGCGAAAATATGCGATTGTTTTATTGAGACCATCATTTATTAAAACCTAAAGAAGTCCAATAAGATGATTCATTCCTATGTTTCAACGGGAGACTTACTTTTGGCTCCCAATTAAGCCAAGATTTTGCTAATGTTATATCAGGTCGTCGTTGTTTTGGATCATCAACAACTGGATCTTTGTATACTATTGGAGCTTTTGATCCTGAAAAAATTAAGATAAACGATTCGCATTCGGAACTCAGCCAACCAATTTAGATCAAGGGGGAACAAACTGATTTCCAGGCATATAGATCACTAGAAATCATTGGAAATCACTAGAAATCATCGGAAATCATCATACTTTAAAGATGTGAATAACGACTCAGTTGTTAAAAATTACAAGAAACGAATGTAAATAAATTTAAATCACAGAAATTCTCGAACTATATACTGAAAAAAATATTGATTTCTATTGATCACTGATGATTTTTACTAATCTCCTTTGATTTTTCAGAATGTGCAATGTTTTCAGGGACCATTGTTGATTTCTCATCATTTTTCAACATGCCTGAACGTTTCCAAGGATTTTTACTGGGTTGCAACGATCATATAAAAACTGATTTCCAGCCATAGAAATCACTGGAAATCATAAGAAATCATGGAAATCAAGAAATCAGTTTGTTTCCCCTTGGTTTAGATAGTATTGGCTTCAATATTTTTGTTTTTAATTATTCAGGTTACCTTACAGAAAAACAATTTACTACTATGCCTTCACATGTCTCGTAATTAAAGCAGAAGCAAAAACCTAACAATGTTCAAGATCATCCTGGCAATATATGCTATATACATAGATTGAAATTCTTTTAAATAAGACAAGAGTAAGTGGAAAACTTTAACATGTGCAAAAATCTGACGCGGATAGAATGCCCTTTCATTTAACTTACCAACAAGATCTTTGATTTTAAAAGCAAATTGTTCAATTGTATATTCATCTGGGTTACCCAAATTCATTGGCATTGAATAATTACTATTCATTAGAGAAATAAGGCCATCAACAAGATCGCTGACATATTGAAATGAACGTGTTTGTTTACCATGACCATAAACCTACATAAGAAAAAAAACACTTTCCTTATAACTAATCGAGAAAACAAAATAGAATTTTTAACCGTAATAGGTTCATTCTGAAGTGCTTGAAGAATAAAATTACTAACAACACGTCCATCGTTCATATGCATTCGAGGACCATATGTATTAAATATTCGAGCAATACGAATATTAATTCCTTCCTACAAACTCAACAATATATTTTTTCATTGATTTTAAATAATCACTATAACCTGTTTAGCATATGCATAACACGTTGCTTCTGCAACTCGTTTAGATTCATCATAACAAGATCTTGGCCCAAATGGATTTACATTACCAAAATATGTTTCTTTTTGTGGATGAGCTTCTGGATCACCATAGACTTCACTTGTTGAAGCAAACAATAGACGAGCACGAACACGACGTGCCAAACCTGATTGAATAGTCAACATGAATTATCATGAATTTCTAACAACAAGTAAAAAACACGTTATTCTATTTACCTAACATATTAATAGTACCCATTGTATTAACTTTAATTGTTTTTACTGGATTATACATGTAATGTAACGGTGAAGCGGGTGATGCCAAATGATAAATTTGATCGACTAGAGGAAGACTATTTGTTTAGAAAAGAAATTTTTATGCTGATTAATTTTTACCTTCAATATAAAGTGGATTGACAATATCATGATTGATTAATTCGAAATTTTCATGACCAATCCAATGTTCAATATTACGTTTACGACCAGTAAAAAAATTATCAGCTACAATCACTTCATGTCCTTCAAGCATTAAACGATCAATCAGATGTGAACCGACAAAACTATTTATTACAAAAGAAAAAACTCAATATTGGAATAAATGTTTGTGCATACCCAGCTCCACCGGTAACCTAAGAACAAAAAAACGTCTACATCAATAAAAAAAAAGACAACTCTATACGTACAAGAATGCGTTTACGATCCTTATATGTCAGGAATGTTACTTCCGGATATTGTTGTTGTCTAAGATTAGATATAGATCAAGTAGTTTTCGTAACTCTATTGCTCAATTAATTATTTACCTAGCTTCTAATTCTTGGATTCGTTTTTCTAAAGATGAAATTCGATTTTCTTCGCCATTGATAACTTGAAAAATACTAGATCAATTAAAAAATAATACT